TTCTAACCCAAGGCTTTCTCGGACTTCAGGGCTGCCCAACCTTGGCAACTTGGACACTGTGAACTTCAGTTCCCAGAATTCCCCAGCCAGCAGGGGAACATGGGAGTTGAAGTCCAGTAGTCTTAAAGCTGCCAAGGTTGGAGAGGCCCATCCAGCTGGATATTTTTTTCCTCTGTGAAAATTGTGGCTTTCTTCCTATCCCATAGCTTCTCAAGTGTAAATTTAAGTTCCGAGTAGATCTACTCCTCTTATATTCGTCTCTCGGCAGGGCAGAAGTGGGCCCTTCAGCAAAAGAGATGGGAGAGGCCTGGTGTGCTGGTTAGACAGCATATACAGTAGTTAGTTTGGGAATGAGAGCTGTCCCCTTAAGGGAATGCTTCATGGGAAATGTAGTTAATGCCTCATGGGAGATGTAGTTCATGTCATGTGGTCACATATGTAATCCTGATTGGTCACTGAATTGACTTATGGTTGGGTTGGGGGCAGTTTTGGTCATTCCTACCTGGACCCCAGCATTGTGCTGGAGTCTTCCGTTGCTGTATCATTATGGGATACAGATAAAGATAAAGATAACAATGCAAAGTTGGGCTTTAGATAAATCTCAACATAACTGTGAGTTATATCTTGAGGATGCCTGATATAATCCAATAAAGAAACTTTGTATGGAAGCCTTTGTAGTGTTCAGCTCCTTATCCCAGGTATTTGGGGAAGATAAATATTGCCTGGGACAAATGAAGTGAAAAGATAGTTATCTTCATCCTTTTCTGTATCTTGTGCAGTAGGAGATAACCATCTTTTACTTTTCTGTATCTTGTACAGAGGTGGATTCATAAATTGTACAGATGCAGAGAGATAACTCAACGTCCATAACAAAGAACATTTATTGGTTCATCAGGTATCCACATAACTCACGTTTGTGATGAAGTTCTTTTTTTATGACCAATCCTTTGTATATCTGCCTTGTAGATAAAAGATGGTTATCTCCTAACCCATTTCATGGTGATAGAAAGAAGGTGCTATGAGTTAGAGAGTTCAGACAAAGAATGAGGGAAACCTCCCCCAGCCCACCAAGGGTCAGTCCAGTGACCAATCAGGATTACAGATGTGGCCATGTGACATGAACTACATTTCCCAGGATACCTTTAACTACATTTACCATGATGCATTCCCTTAAGGGGACAGCTCACAATTCCTAAGTGTCTATCCACTTCCCATAGACTGACTGGGACAGCACAATCCCATAATAATACAGCAAGGGAAGACTCCAGCATGATGCTGGGGTCCAGGTAGGAATGACCAAAACTCCCCCAAACCCAACGAGAGGTCAATTCGGTGACCAATTCATGTCATGTGACCACATGACAAGAATGACATCTCCCATGAGGCATGAACTACATTTCCCATGAAGCATTCCCTTAAGGGGACAGCTCTCATTCCCAAACTAACTATATATACTGTCTAACCAGCACACCTCAGGTTCAACCCCCAGCTCTGTTGCAAGAGCCACTGGAGCAACCTTAGCAGCCTCAGGAGGTGGGACTGGCATAAAGCACCTGGTGTGACTGCGCTGCTTAATGAAGGGCATCCCAGAGGTCCTGTTGCCATTGCAACCCCAGGACCACGGAGGCATTGAGCGATGACCTCACGTGGCCACGAATGGGAAGGATCAGAGTCGCAGGCAGGCGGGTGGGTGTCTCAGAATACAGACAGCTGAAAAGATGGCAGGAGTGGAAGCTACTCCCAGGAGCAGCTTGCAACCTTCTTCTGGCTTCCCCAGTGACTGTTGGGAGAAGCTGGCAGGGAACATTGCAAATGGTCCTCCTGTGACCACAGGGTGCCACGACGGCTGTGATTTCAAGGACTGACCGCAAGTCCCTCTTGTTCAGCACCGTTGTAACCTTGAACAGCGGAATGAGTGGTTGTAACTCAAGACAGGCTAGCATACCCTTGGCCTAGCCAGGACCTTCCCGACTTCCGCAAACTGGCCATCCAATCTAGGATTTCCTGCCTTGTGCCTTTCAACTTCGATAAAAAAAATCTTGGCTTTTCTTTTGTTTGGGACCTTCTTCCTTGTGTGAACCCAACAATCCTTGCAATAGCTACGGGTTCTTTTCCTCAATGTTGTGTTTCTTTTTCATATGGAATCCACAGTGACTGACGGGTTCTGAAGATTTCCAGCGTGAAAGGGCTTGTCGTCACCTCACATGGGAGCGTGTTTCACAGGCTGACACTTCATAATCAGCATGTTCCTCTTTGTCTCTCACCTGAAGCTCCTTCTGTATTGCAACCCTGTGTTTCCCTGGCAACAGAGAAAGAGGCTTCAGGTGGCTGCCTGCTTTTGGCAGTTTCTTCTCCTGGGTGGGTTGGCTTCCCTGGTCCCCAGCCCCACTGCAGGTTACTCTTTGCTCGCCCATCCATTTTGCGACAGCCATCCTAGCCAGAGTGACTCCATGCTCTCACTTGCTCATTCAGGTTCATTGGAGCTATTGAGAGAGATTAATCCCTGGGGGAGCAACGTGTGTTGCAATAAATGTAGTATCATCATCATGATGGAGAAATAATTGCAAAATATTTTTCAAGTGCTTATTCCTTAATCTGCCTGTGGTAACTAAGAGAACCGAAAGCTGGAGGTCTTCGCATCCTGTCTCGGCAGTTACTGCTGCCACCACCTATCTTCCAGGAGATTCATTTACTGACTGTCCACCCCTAACACTAGTGTGTGAAGGAGATGGGCCGCAGACCTTAATGGCAAGGAAAACGAGTGATAAAAAAGGAAGTACACTCTCGATATGTATGTCCCTAGAGCACTGAGGCATACGATGACTACGTACATCAGCCCTTTTTCCTATTCTTTCTTTTGAGTGGACAGACCAACCTCACAAGAGAGAACTAGAATCAAATGTTATTAAAGAAAAGAACCAAAACTTCCTTGTATTTACACAGATGGCAAACAAGAGCAGTGTTGGTAGAAGTGGAGAGCTGCCCAAACTGCAGGCAGCCATCTTGGAAGAACCTCCAACTGGAATATCAGCAGAAAAAGATCAGGCTCTAAGCCAGAAGTCTCCAAACTTGGTAACTTTTAAGACTTGTGGACTTCAACTCTCAGAATTCTTGCCAAGTTTGGAGACCTCTGCTCTAAGCTGATCCCAGGATGATATGCTCCTATGTGGAAGTCACACTGATGCAAAGAGGCGCCAGATTGCATAAAACACACAAGGATTGGGGCCCTGGAGACAAAAGAGGAAGCACCCTCAGAGCAAAAGCCTGTTTCTTCCATTAGGAGTTGAACCCCAAATTCTCAGCTCTGGTGGAAACGGCAGAATTTCAGCACAGCAGTCAATCACTTTTGTGAGCCTCCGTAGCATAATCATGAGATAAACAAAAAATTGCTTGGCATGATACGCTGAATTAAAATCTGTGCAGCTACTGAATGTGGTCCTTGTTCAGTGTAGTATCCACACAGCCAAGCCAGGGCATGTGTGCACATTGGAAAGACGGCCAAAAAACGGTGCTGTGAACCACCATTTGTCCTTCTTCAGATTATGCCCTTCACATTGAGCCAGGAAAAGGGTGGCTGATATGACAGACAGGAGGGGGCGAGGGGAGGAAGCTGGCTGCCACCTTCACAGCCCTCTAGGGCATCCAAACCAGTAGCCAGCTCTCCACAGGAGTGTTGGCAAGAGGCCAGAAGTAGATTAAATTAACAGCCTGTCATAAGGATCCTTCAGCACCATCCGGGCACCAGGATCCCAGCAGCTGTATTTTCCGAAAAGCCAGGGGCCCAGAAGTGGCCTGATGGGCTTTCTCACTGGCACATCTGCCCTGCCTTAGTTGGGCAAAAGCCCCCAAAATTCACATAGGGCAGGGGTCTTCAAACTTGACAGCTTTAAGATTTGTGGACTTCAACTCCCAGAATTCCTCCTCCAGTCAGGTTAGCTCAGGAATTCTGGGAGTTGAAGTCCACACGTCTTACACTTGCCAAGTTTGAAGACCCTTATGATAGATAGATAGATAGATAGATAGGTAGGTAGGTAGGTAGGTAGGTAGGTAGATAGATGATAGATAGATAGATAGATAGATAGATAGATAGATAGATAGATAGAT